GATACTACAACAGAAACCACTGTTAAAGGACTCCAGATTATAAAAAAGTTTCCAAAAATTGAGACTGAAAATGAGAGAAAGAAAAAACCATGGAAAGAAAAAGACAGGACGGGGAAACGAAGACAAAAAAATCGCCTTTGGGGGAACATCAAACACAAATCCTTTGCAAAAACCCTCTCAACCCCTGTCACCACATATCAACTAAACAAGTAAACAGAAACAAAACCTCACTCCCATACCCCCCCCCTTCCCAAGCACAAATTTCCCCACAATCACAGCAGCCTCCCATAATATTGTCCCCTGCCTCCCCCCTCCCAGCCTGTACCTTCCCCTTTTTCATCCCCAAAAAAACGAAATGGAAAGGAAAGAAAAAGGTAATGGTATGCCAATGCAGATGGAAAAACAAATAAGGGAAGAGGGGCAAAAAGCATCATTGATGCTCCCCCGACATCATACACAACAGAGACAAAACTTACGGGGATATAACAGATGCTTTTTTTTCCCCCTGGATATCAATTAGGGAAAGACGAGAAAAAAGAGGAGGGGGGAGTAGCTTTGCTCATAAAAAGCAGTGGATTTTTTGAGGGATGGGAGGAATGAAAAGAAGGGAAAAAACGATTTCATTGTAGGAACCTTCAGACTGGGTCCAAAGGTATGATACAGTGATGTATAACCCCCACTTAAAACAGCAGGAAACAAGAGAAGAGAGATGTGAGAAAAAAGGGAAAGGTGGATACACTGCTGAAGTGGCCAGGAGGGCTCATATGGGTAGAAAAAATTTGCAAAAGGGGGGATTCAACAAAAGTGATTGACGGGGAAAACCTAGACCAATGGGGGACCAAAAACAGGGAGGGCTAAGATTTGGGGCTGCATTGGAAAATTTTCATGCACAACATGTTGGGGATACAACCAAAGGGGGGAGGGGATTTTTGCAGCAAGGCGGGATCTCATTTCCCTTGAATATTCAGACATAAGAGATATCACCCACGAAAGACCCCTTGGCGTATGATCATGATGTTGAGTTTTGAATTCTTGTTGAGTTAAAAGTGGAGAATCACAAGCCGAGAACAAAGAGAAACCAAATTAAAAAAAGGGGATACATGGAATGAGATGTTTTTTGATAAAGTGCAGGGGGAAAGAAACTAGATGGAAAACAGTAAATGAAATAAAGGAAAAAGTAACCACTAAGTGCGGGGGCAGAGGAAAGGTTATACCAAAAAGGGCAACAGAAAAAAATGGTAAGACCAAGGGGCCCGGTTTAATTGGAGGTGTAAAGAGGCCAAAGCCAAGGTGATAGAGCATGGAAAAGGTACGAAGGCAAAGGACCAAAAAACAAGGAGCTGAGCAAAAAGAACCAGAAACGAATATGAAAGGGATAAGGAGAGAGGCCCAGAGGCAAACAAACGACATGCATAAAAAGCCAAATCTGAACCAAATTTGTTATACGGGTCAATTAGGAGAAAAAAAACAGTCATCCCAGGTAATCAGGTGGGAAAGAAGGAGGGGACTCACAAAATGCCAAGAAGTATTATGAACTAAACAAAAGATTAGAGAAGTTTTCACAATAGAGCAGGAATGCTTCCACAAATGTGGAGGTGGGTGCACCAGCGGGCACTGGACACAATACACATAACCAAGGTAGAGGTGAAGAAACGCTAGTCGAACCGATACCTAAGGGGGTGGGCCCAATAAAATATCTCCATGGATCTGAAGAGGGAGCAAGGAACTGTGTGTGCCTTACAGCAATCTTCAGTAAATCTGTCGAAACAGGGCAGTTCCCCTGAGGGGGGGAAGACACCATTAGTTCCAATTTTTAAGAAAGGGGGGACAGACAGGCAGCATTAAATACAGACCAGTGTCATGAATTGTATAGTATGTAAAAATCATGGAAAAGATTATCAGGAGAAAAGTAATGGAACACATTGAAAAAAATTTGGGGGTCTACATGACAGTCAGCACGGTTCCAGAGATGAGAAAACCTTTGTCCAAATTTTACTTGAGTTTTAATAAGTAACAGAAGTAGACAGGGGAAAAGGGGATGGGGAGTTTGCCTCTTTTTAGATTGCAAGAAGGCTTTTTTCACAGTACCCACAACAGCTGGTGCAAAAATTAGAGGAGCAACGGAATAACAGGGAAAGTGCTGCAATGGATCAGGGGAAACCCGACAGGAAGGAAAAACGTGTTTGGTATGTTGAAGTTCGGAGTGGCGAATGTGTCGAGTGGGGTTTAAAAAGGTTCGTCCTAGGCCCGGTGCGTTTTTTTGTATCTTTAAAAGACATGGGGGATGGAATAGATTCAAAAGTGTCCTGTTCCTGAGATGAAACTGAAAGAGGAGAATACGTGGGGAGGATCAGTTAAGAAATTTCAAGGGGATCTGGAAAAACTACAAGTATGGCCGACAAATGGGTCCCGGAGTTTAACCCCAGTAAGTGTAAGGTCATGAAGATTGGGGAAAGGGCACAGAAGACCACAGACGGGTACAGGTTAGGAAAAACCCAAAAGCTGCAAACTCAGTTAAAGAAAAGGAAATTTTGGGTAAAAATTATAACGAACATGTCCCCTGTGGACACATCAAACAAAAAACTGCTGCAGCAATGGGGGAAATTTGGGAAACCTAGATTG